TTAATTTTAACACATAGCTTGTTTTTTTTCTGTTGCGAATTTTGCCACTGTTTTGCTTGTTCTCTCGTTCGTTCTTCGTACAGCTATACGATACTAATACAGAAAAAAATGTGCATTATAATATGCGCAAAATAATCATGAGAGTATCGTCAAAACACACATTGTTTTATTTTGGTTAGAAATTTTAGGCTACTATTTAGGTAGTCAGTAGAATAAATGAAATGGTCAACAAAATAATATATGATCAGTTATTAAAATAATTAGGCTTGTTGATAAATCGGAAAATTAGTAAATTAAGTTAAATGGTGAATACAAAAAACGAAATGTATTATAGTATGATTTTAATAGATGGTATATATAATAGAAAAGAAATGATAGAAGAAATTAAAGTGTTTTAATTATCCAGTGCTACAGCTGTATTCAAATCAGCACTACTACTATTTATAAAGAAATGGAACATAAACAACAAGCAAAAGCCAATTAGTATTAGATTTCTTTTGTTATTTTTTCGATAATGATGAGCTCAAATAAAATGATGGCTGGCTTGAATATAAACAACTGTATGCAGCAAGCACAAACAACGGCATAGAGCCCAGCAATAAAAGAATCACATATGATAGAAGATTCAGAGAACGTCATGTTTTCTAAAATTTTTCACAATAACTTTAAACACTGTCGATAATTGGTCACTTGAATGAAATTCTTTCTCAATCATCTCAAAAATATTTGCAATAAAACTAACAATATCTTTATAATTATGAACTTTAACGTATCAATGGACTAAATCAACCAAAGATTTAATTCGTATTTTCTATGATTTTTCAAAAACATATGATATACCAGCTTGCGATTGACAATCGATTATACAAGTTGATTTAGATAAATACAAAAGTGAGAAGTCAACAAATTTTACTCAATTGAAAAAATTATTTGATGTTTAGTGTATGGAAATGGAGAATGATTCAAACTGGAGCATATCAAAATGCAACTGTCCAGCTTTTCTAAGAATTATTTATACAAACACGTTCTTTGTATAGCCATTCGTTTGATATATTGAAAGCTACCAGCAGTAGTAGCAAAAGCAGCATCACTCGATGTGAAAAGAAAAAAAGTAGACCAGCAAACACTTAACTTGTCTTGTTAGTACAATGAATAAACTTTCATTTTCTTTTTTTTTTTTGGTTCAATCTTTGAATTTCTATTTATTGTACTTTTGGATTTCTTGTCATTTATTCTGTGGTTTTTTATATTTATTTACACTTATTTTTATTGTACTAAATTTATCGTTACATGAATAGAATTTATTTCCTATGGAGATAATATCTGTATTTTTACTGATCCAATTTGAATTTTTTATTGACGCAGTTTTAATTTTTCATCGACTTCCATTGAAAAAATTGATCATTTTCGCACTGATCATTTAATATTTACAATGACCATTTGTATATTTTTGTACTAATCATTTCATTCATTTTACTAACGAAAAATCATATTCTCAAAATTTAAACATTAATCTGTTTGTTCTCTCATTCGTCTTTCGCACAGCTATACGACACTAATACAGAAAAAAAAATGTGCATCACAATGTGCGCAAAACAATCATGCGGATATTGTCAAAACATACGTTGTTCTGTTTTTTCGTTGGAAATTTTACCTTTAGTTTATTGGATGCTTTTAGTCTTTCTTACATGTATTTATTTATTTATTTTGTATATCTTTATTCAACAATTAGCATTAAATAAAAACAATGGATTTCAATTTATTATAATATATAAGTATTAATGATTTCAATAAAATAATGATGTGAGGTTTCGACAATTAAACGTGTCTTCATCAGGCGTTGTATAGAAGTGTATTGATTTTTCTTTTAAATTTCTTTTTCTTTTCTTGTTGATATTAATCATATGATGATCGTACGCCAAGATGGTAGAAGTTTTTTTATGGTTCTTTTTATTTTATATCCTTCATGCAGTTGAGGAACCCATGGTGCATTAATGTTATCGTGATGATTTATTGGTTTGTTAATAGTGGAATGAATTGATTCTTTGATTTGTCGGTTTTCCCAACCAATCTCATAGCCAATGGCAAATGCTTTATCCAAATCAGCTTGTACATTAATATGTATTATCTTCATGGTTTTGTACAATCTCAGAATTTGATTTAGTGTCGTTGTTTTTAATTATTCGTTTGTGTTGTCATACTGGTTTATTTAAACAAACTTTTATTTCTTCGTTATAAATTGCTTTACACTTACATGTTACGTGATAAATATTCGATGTAGATTTTTATTTAATTAGGTCCGCAGACGCTATTTGAAGCTTATTAGGCTAGGAGAAAGATATTCTAATTTTTAATTCCTCTAATTTCTGTTTTAGTACTCCTATTTCATGTACAAATAGTACTATAGTTTGGTATATCATTTCGTTTATTTTATGATTTTTTCTTTCTTTTTTCTTTCATTTGTTGTAGTTTTAATGGATTTCGCGGCCTCTTTAATATATTTATCGTTGATATGTGCTGGGTAGTTCAACTTTTATAAGACTAACGTTTTGTTTATTCAAATCATCTTGTTGGTTATTATTATTATTTTTTCTCTCGATTCTTTAGGATGCCATATTTTTACTAATATTAATTTTAATGGATTGTTTATGATCTGAATAGTAATTCAATAACCAATCGGATGCTGTGTGTTTTCAATATCATTCGATATTAATCCTATTATCATTGGGTTTTTTTTACAATGTCGTAGCAAGAACATTCATGATATTATTTCTTTCATATTCATAAGTGAATGTAATTTTACTTTGATTTTTATTAAGATCATCAACATATGATTTAACTTGTTCTTCATTCATTGTGATTATTTTAAGAATGTCATAGATATACCTACAGAATTTAAAAAATTATGGAAAATCTTTTTTACTCAACAGCTTTTGATGTTCTGTTATGAACTTAACGTTATAGACGGTAATAGGATTATATAAAAACTTATAGTTATATAACTATTTTCAACATTCTATCTAGGTGATATGAAATCTTCACAGTACTACTTTACGTTTTCTGTTATATTGGGAAACTAGGAATATTGTATATACGACTTTGAAAATTTTCTAAATCAGGGTAATAGATACAACTTTCGATAACATTAAAATGCAGGATGTTGTTATTCTCAGGTTGGAGAAGTTAAATTAATATCATCTGAAATTTGTTTTCATATGCACAATTTTTGAATTCTCACAAGACAGAAGTATTTAATATGTTGCTACAGGTGACACTTGAGATTGAGGTTATGGATGTGGGTGTGGGTATGAGTATAGATGTGATTGAACTGAGCACTCCCATTCACACTCACACCTAATCTCCAAACACGAACAGCTTCGATTTTGACT